TCAATTTTTTGGGGATATGAAGAGGAGTCTGTGTCACTCCTGATAGCTCTGAAGCTTGGTCCAGCAGTCAAGGCAATGGCAGAACTCCCTGATGTCAGTGAGGCCAGGATTTGATTCTGTGCCTTTTCAGGAGCTGATGATTCAGTTGTGTTCTGGGAGGACCTTCGCACAGAAATCACTGGTACTTTCTGAGCTTTTTTGAGCCTTCTAACTGCTGTGCTGTATTTGTGGCATTCAGAGTTAATAAACTGCTATTCTTTTTTCATGCCTTAATAATACAATAGACCCCATAGCTGGGCTCTGTATGTATTTGGTAATTAACATAGATGACATTTCAATGTTACTGAAAATAAGCTCAGGATTATTGCATGAAATGTAAACATTTGCATTGAATGATGGGGATATGAGACATGAGGCAGTGATTGCTACTGTCTCTTTGCTTGCTAAGTATCTTCTGTAAGCAACAATAAAATTCTTTAAATATTTTGCATATTATTTATCACATGTAATGTGTTCAAGGAGAGGACTTAAAAACTCTCGGTGTTGCCATCTGTGTAAGCCTAGATCTATTGGGTTTTTTTTTCCATTTCTTGTTAGAATTGTTTGTCATAATGGAAGAATGTTGTCCTCTTTCTAGCTCATTATATATTTTGTGTATCTGTTTTGTGCAATTAATACTTAACAGTAATGATGTAGTTAATTTGTTGAAGGATGTCATTGCAAGAAAGTTATAGCATGGAGCTTAGGAGCACAATCAGATGTTATTTATACTCCCTTTATACCTTAGTGTTATGCTTCATTTGAAGAAAGAAATAAATAATTTGTCTTTTGTTCAAAACCAGTTCTAACTACAACATGCTTTTCTATTACGTTCATTGTCATAGTTCAACACAGGGGTGTTATCTGAGCTGATGACTAATGTTCCCGTGCTGAAGTTACTGTTTCTGCAGCTAACATTTGGAATATCTTCCCCAGGCCTTTTAAAGTTACAAAAGGCGGGAGTGTGGGTGGTACCTACAAAGCCCCGTTCTTGGCTGCAGTTGGTGAGCTCTGAGCAGCTCAGCTGCAGTAAATGTGGTGTAGATGGCCTCCTCACCCGGAGGCTCTCACCCTCCTTGCCCATCTTTAGCCTGCTTCCCTTTGGGACATGGTATGGGAAAGACAGAGAGTCACACTGATGGGGGAAGGGAGAGAATGTGGTGGGACCCTCCTCCTCCAACTTTCAGCTGGTACATATTTGTGTATGACCAGAGGAGGTGGAGAAGCTGTGCCCTTCCAACATGCTTTTCCTGCACTGCAGGAAAGGGAATCATCCTCCATGAAAAGAATATCCTTGGCTGGCCATCTAGTCATGGGACATCAGAAGGTTATTTTGAGCACAAAGTGGGCTTTAATCTCAATGGGTATAAACTGGCATAACATCCTCTAACTTACTAAAACTCTTGTAAGCCCAGCAATTAACTGACAAAACAGCATGAAACATGGTGAAAGGGGAATCTTTCTCACGTGAGGGAACATGGATGACTAGAAAGTATCTGAAAAATGACTGAAAAGTGTCTTCAAATGTGAATGCTAAGGAAGGCCACATACAGAAACTGTTAACTCAGAGACTTGCCAATATAAATTGACATTTTTTATGGGAACACCTCAATTACCACGCTAGATTCATTTGGATTGTCCCAAACCTTGCTTTTGATAATTGTTACTGTGGGAAGTTTTAAGAAAAGTCTGTCACAAATGACTGATGATTAGCAAGGTAAGTTTTTTCCTAGTGACATTAACTGGTGGCTAATTAGCACTGTGAAGTGTGAGTATCAGGTCTTTTATCCAAATTCCCTAACTTAATTGTGTATAAACACAGCAATGTCGCCTCATGTTCTATCAACATCAATATTTTGATAAATGTATATATGGGGTGAAATGTGGATATGCCCACACGTATACTGAGCCCATACATTATGATTTTCTGAATACCCTCAAGTTTCTGCTTTCAGTAAAACTTACATATTACATGGGATATATTTAAATTTTATTAATGTTCTGTACCACCTCCTTATTCATGATAGGAGACAGGTTATTGACAATTCCTATTCTTCTCTCATTATTTCAGCTGTTTTCATTACAGCTCTAATGTCTACTTGAGCAGTTTATGAGGGCCAAAAACATTCCTGTGGAACTTAAATGTAAAACTGTGCAGTAAACACATTTCTGAAGTTTGATTAGAATGCCAACTTCTAAAAATACTTTCTACTTGCTAGTACATAAATGTGCCGTTGAAAATCGTGTACAATGAATTTAGCAGAAAACTCACAGAGAATTCAATCAACATGGCCTTAATTAAAACCATATTGTTTTAAAAATACTTACATAGTTTATTGCACAATACAAGCTTGGTAACTGCAAGAATACATTAAAAGAATTTTTGGTATTTCTTGCATAAGAACGAGTAGCACTTAATGTTCCATTATGGTGCCAAATCAAAAGTTAAAAACATTAGGCCAAATCCTAAGCCTTTTAACTCAGTGTAAAGTTCTAATTCTCTTAATGAAGTAGATTTTTTTCTGTGTGCAATAAGGGACTTAAGATGAGCTAACATTACCAAGATAGAAGCTTTACAGTTCATTCCTGACACAGAGTCCTACTGGCTTTCCTATCTTTAAGGCTAATTCCCTTGTGACACAACAGTGGTGTATCAGTCACTTTATTCATATCACTGGGGTTGTAGGGAACTTATGTATGAAAGAGAAGGCAGCCAGATACTCAACTATTATTTATTCAATGACAGCTCTAAAAGGACTCCGTGAATTATGAGCAAAAGGTCAGAATAGAGGCATAGTGCTTATTTGCTTGAAAGAGAAAGTATCAGAAGACATTTGGTTTTAGGAGTCCAAAAAGTATCTGGAACGCAGATATGAGTTGACCAGCTATTACTTGTGCGCCAATCCCAGTTGTGGTAATTCCTTCTCCTGTGGACACTATGGAGCTCCACAGGATCACGAACAGAAGTGCTCAGGAGGAACAAATGCAGGGCCTGCAACTCTGCCATGATTTTATGTGAGTTTTAGTCTCCTGTAGGCAAGCATCCTTCCTGCTCCTAGTGCATCTGAAAGAGATGCGATCCGACCAGTCCAAAGGAAGTCCTGAGGAAGCTCAATGGCAGTCTAATGCTATCAGCATTCAGATTACATGGTCTGTTTCTCCTCCACCATCCCTCGTTCCCCCTGCAAACTGATGCACAGCTCAATGTGTCACCCTATTTTTAGACTTTTCCATGCTGTTTGGATTCCTGGATGTGCAAATGCCTGAATCTGTGTCTAAGTTGACAACTTATACATGCACAAGAATCAGTCTACCCTGCTGTCCACACGTGCTGGCATCAGTATCTGTTATACTTACATTTCTGAGACATGACACTGAGCAAGTTTCTAACAGTTTAGACCTCCAAAAATTCTCTTGATTTTGGAATATAAACATGCTGAGAACATATTGTGGTCCTTTCCATGGTAGTTGTGTTATACAGCCCTGAAAGGTAGGATATTAATGGTCTGTATAATAATCAGAAAATATCAAAGCATAATATTCCATCACATCAAGTAGCTGAAAAGATGATAAAATGCAATGAGGGCCATTGTAGCACAGTGTCCATTTCTCTGCTTTCTCAACCCTATGCACAACAGTAGACAATATGTGAACAAAGTGTTTAGTATTTAGTTCTCATTCTCAAAAAAAAAAAGATGTGGTTACGTGTTTTAAAGGCTTTTAGTTAAATGTGAACAAGCAAACATCCAAAATATTTGTGTAAGCAAAACTGTACTGGACAAGTGACAGTAACAGACAACATGTATGATCTATCAGTGTTTTATGGCGCTGAAAGGAATTGTTTATATTTTCTCATTTTCTGTATGAATGATGACGTTACTTTAAGAAATTCAAATTTTAGCTTCTTTCATGAAATAATATTTATGTCACTGAAAATACAAAAATGGGAGAAAGGCAAGTGCTTATTTGATGGTATAGGCAGGCAGTAGAATGGAATAAATCCAGTTGTCAGGGTCCTACAATGATCACCTAGTCCCACTGCCCAAACACTTCAGGACTGACCAGAAGTTAAAACCCATCATGAAGGGTATTGTCCAAAAACCTCTTTTTAAGGCACTGACGGACAGGGAGCCTGTTTCGGTGTCTGACCACACTCTTGGTATGAAAGTATTTTCTTAGGTCCAGTCTGAACCTCCCTGATGCAGCTGTGAACCATTCCCACATGTCCTGCAGCTGGATCCCATGGAGAAAAGATCAACACCTCCCTCTCCACTTCCCCTCCTCAGGAAGTTGTAGAGAGCAGTGAGGTCACTCCTCAGCCCCCTTCTCTCCAAACCAGGCAAACACAAAGTCCTCTGTTGCAGTTTCCATGCATTTATTTTATTTGAATAGTTGGCTCTGGGGGGCCTGTCCTCTGGGCTCCCCTGCTTTCTCCCTCGTTGGGTCACAGGCAGCACTTGGCTTGCTCTGGAGGGTCCTCTGCTATCTTTCTTCCCTAGACAGAAGCACAGGTGTGATTCCTTCTGCTCAGCACCCATCAGACCTCATCCAGGCACTAAGTCCTCTTCGTGGTCCCAGAGAAGGCTGACAAACCTTTAGGGCTTTAAAGCAAGGATGCTCTGTGGGGATGAGTCTGGTTCAACATGGGACACCTCATAGCACACCCTGGTGCTTCTGGGAGAGGCATCAAAGGGATGGGGACAGGCTTGTGGAAGGGTGAGAGACAGTGGCATCTCCTGAAACTACAGAGGAGATAAGGAATCAAAACCAAAATTCCTGCAAGATTCATAAAACACTGAAGTATGTTGCCTGGAGAGGTTGTGGGATCTGTGAGCCTGGAGGTCTTCAGGATCTGAGTGGCCACAACCCAGTCATAAGCCCACACTGAAGTCCTGGAAGAAAAAGCATTGACAGCGGGAAACACAGCAATGGTTTTCAAGGGAGCAACAGTTTCCAGAAGGTTTTGACTTTCTGGTTTTATTTGGTTCAGCAACTTTCATAAATTTTTAATTAGGAGAGAATAGATAGTTCCAGTTGGCAGGGACACACAACACTCATCTAGTCCTGATCACAGCTGACCAACAGTCAAAGCCCATTATAAAAATTGTTGTCCAAATGCCTCCTCTTAAGGCACTGTCAGGCATGGGACATCGATCACCTCTCTAGGGAGCCTCTTCCAGTGTGCAACCACCCTCTTGGCAAGGAAATGCTTCTGAACATCAACAGGCCAGCTCTTCACCCAGCATGGCATGCACGTCTTCATCTCACAGCTGAACAACATGTCCAGAAGGATGCTGTAAGGGACTGTATCAAAAACATTATGAAAATCCAGAAAAACAACACCCACCTCCTCTTCACCTACCAGGCAGGTGACCTATTTGTAGAAGCATCTTGGATTAGCCAAACAGGGCTTTCCTTTTGTGAGCCCGTGCTGTGCCTGATGCTTACACTTCCTTGAAATGCCTTTCATTACCACCCAGTAACATCTTCTCCATCGTTTTTTCAGGCGCTGAGGTTAACTCTTAATTGCCTATAGAATAACTCATCAGTGCTGGTTATGACAGGTGTGGAAGGGAGGTACAGTCTTTTGGTATATATATTAATCCACATCAATTTCTCTATCTATAAATTTCACTGTAAATCCTAGCAACACAGTGATTTTTATATATATATATATGGAAATCAAAAAGAATGCCTTGTATCTGAGAGTCCACTAGGGAACTTTCTATGTCTATACTGAGTACCTGGCACATATTTCATGTAATATCTATGCACTGGTCTCTCCACACACGAAAAGAAAAGAAAGTATGGCCTGTAGATGACATGCAGAGAGAAGAAAAACACTTCTGCAGTCTGAATTCTTTCTGCTTTGTCATGTCTCTCATCTTCTTAACAAGTGCAGGAGTATGACTGAGAGGAAAACTGCCCTTGTTAAAAAATGTTATGAACTTCTCACTTTTATGTATTATGATCATGTTTGATGTGATAAACAGTTAAGTAGCATGTCAGATTGTGCAAAAAGTCAGCTGGCTCTCAGAAGATTATAAGTAGGATATCATATAATGGTATCTACATGCGAGTCTTCTCTCTCTTTTTAAGGTATAGACATCGTGTCTTCATAAAGTGGCTGGAAACAGTCTTTTTTACTAAAAGTGCTTTGGAGTATATTAGGATTAAAATACACTGCTGCTGCTCCAGAGTGATTACCACATGTCCCCCAGTTGCTGGCTGAAGTGTTTTTCTCTCCTGTCAATTCCCACAAGCAGATCTCGGAAGGTTTCTGTCTGTACCAATCATGAACTACCTGAAGCTGCTTCATTTTCCCATCCACTGCAGTCAGTTCAGATTCCAGTTGCTCAAATTTTTCGTAAGTGGCTGAAGCTACCTCCTGAAACAAGTGGGATTAGTTCAGTCCCAGGAGCAACCCTTGACTAAAATCTCAAATTAGCTAAGACCAATTGTCTTGATTTCAGCATCCTTGCTCAGTTGGAAATGTATGTTTTCTTCAGCTACCTGCATTTTTATTGTCTTTATTGGCATCTCCTCAAAAATGATTTATGTGTTCTAAGCATAAATGAGCAATCCTAGTTAAATTTAAAAATTAAAATATTTGCAGTTGACCTCCTTGTTTATTCTGGTTCTACAGACTATATCTCTCAATATCAAGTTGAATATTATGGTGTGTTCATGTATACGTGGAATGCTTTCAATCTGTATTTTCTCTCGTGTCATCAGATAATCTCAATTCTACAACCTTACTGTTACTTTAATTTGGCATAAATTTCCTGGCAGTGTTGTATTACCTGAATTTACACCTGATTAAACAAAATGGACCCAGCCTTCTACATGGTCTCATTTTGGTAGAATCTGTTTGTGATATAATAGGGGTGCTGGAAATGGGGAGAATGTGAAAAGGCAAAGCAACAACAGCGTATTCCTCATCGTGTAACTGCAGTTTGATGGCTTGGGCCGTATTTGTTATCTGTTACACAAGTCTTTCTTTACAGAATGTGGTGTACTATTTTCTTGGATTGTCTGCCTCAACTTTGACAGAAGTATTTTCTGCCACATCTTTGAAAATGCTTGGCTCCAAAAATTGTTATTTAATTCTTCTGTAGTTACTTCATAGGAAAAAACCCACTTGAATCCTTTAGAATGGAAAGCAAAACGCGCTCCTTAAGAGAGGCAGGTACTCCTTAGAGAGGTACTCAAGCGTTTGGACACGAGGCAATTTGGTTTTTTTTAGAAGACTGCACATATGCACTTTTTTTTACTCACTCTTTTTCCAAGTATCCCTCATTCATCTGAAGCTGCAGTCCTAAAATATCCACAGGGCAGTTGATTGCATGTGGCAAGTCATGGTTCTCCTGAAGTGCAGCAGACTCTCTCATTGGAATTTCGGTCAGGACCATTCGTGGTCATTAAAGCACTTAGGTCAAGGAAAAAAACAGAAATAAAACTACAGACGCCAATAGCTTTTATTTAAATTAAAGGATGACTAGAAGTCCAAGGGCAGTCTGCAATTCAGTAAAAAGATTACTAAATCTGAGATATGAAAAGAGGGACAGGTTACTGGAATAGGAGATGTTTTTCTTGGAAATGATACAGTGTAAGTGTTTGCCTATCTGTCTATTTATAACATGAAACACGACCCACACACATTTTTCCTTTGCAACATATTAAGTGTTGCACGGCTTTTCAATACATAGGTAATACATTCAAAGGCTGCCTTTATGTGCTGACCCAGTTTTCTCTCAAAACTTGTCAAAAGCCCTTAGGTAACTAATGACAATTACTAAACAGGTTTGTTGTTATGTCAGGTTTTGAACCTGAGTTGAAAAGAAAATGTTTTGCACATGGTGGTGAGTAATTTTCGTAACACTGAAAGTGCATTTCTGTAGCACTCCCAGCTATTTTTTCACAGTTCAATGCAGAAGCAGCGTCTGTTCAAAACTTTTGCTAAATTTATGTCTTGGTACATTTCTGAAGCATTCACTAGAGAAATGAGAGCTCTTCTGTTCTTGTCTGTGACCATTTTACCACTCAAAGGTTATGGGAAAGAACACTAAAATGCGGTAAAGAGCAACAGAATTTGCAATGAAATCAAAAGAATTTCCCTCAGCGTAGCTGATTAAGTACAGCATCAGGCAGAAAGTTAAGTAAACATACAGTCATAGTAAAAAAATCCTACACTGGGGGAAAGACTCCTTTGGTTCTTCTTATAAAAAGAATTGCTAGATGGCAAGTCTAATTCTCTCAAGAACTTTGTTGCAAACTTTGTGCTCGACATTTGGAGCTTATCCTGTCAAGTAGAAAGTACAATAACATGCAGCATGAGAGAAACATTTCGGTTTGTATGACAAATGTCACTTGAAAATGGGCTTGGCTTTTAATTTAGAACATTGTAAACACACCAGGAGAAACTAGTTTTGATCATTTGCCAAATATTGCACAAGTATTTAGACTAATAAATAGCCTTCTATAACAGGAAGTGTACTGTATATTTTATGTGTTCCCACAATTTTTAAGAGAAAGTCTCATCCCTTCTGTTTCACAGATGTTTATAGGGAAAAAAAACACCCTAAACTAGATAAAATAACGTGTTATTATCAAAAAAGCATTTCAATCATCAGCTAAAGATTTTGGGAACATTAAGAGTACATTATAAATAAGAATACATTTTAATTAGAAGATTTTCTCACTGATTAGTCCTTCAGACCCCAGGTTAAAGTCATGCCTTACTGAATAAAATAAGATGTATAGCTAAGAAAATAATCATAGGGTCCATCATCTCATTATTTTGATTGTGTAAACTACAAAGTAAGGCATATTCCAGCTGTAAGAAAAACCAACAGGCCTAATTTCCATGCCATTATTACATCATGTGGATCTCGGATCTACGAATGTACACTGCACACTGTGTCCTGCCTCGTCGTGCTGCTGTCACCAAGGATATGAGATGGATGTAGAGCTAAGGGTTTTGTTTTCTAAACTTTGCACTGGACTCTCCCTTTTGCATCCAAAATGTCTCAGGAAGGAAACAAGCCCAAACAACCTCTAAGCTTTTTAGGCGCGACAAAAGCTCTCTTGATTCTGCTCCCTCTCCATTTGGCTTGAGGGGCTGAAGAAGCAAAAGTTAACTCCAAACGTAAGAAGAATAGTTCTGCTGGTAACCATCCAAACAAATTGTGGGGAGGGGCAGGAGAGTGTGGGGATGTGTGGGGGGGTGTGGTACATGTTAGATCAAGGAATGCATGGTTATCTTTATTTGGGTTTTCACAGGACAAAGATGTTCTGTAGGTAGCAGAGGTAACTTCGACTAAATTCTGCAGAAATTTGGTGTGACTTTGGGGAAGTTACAGAACAGTAGGCAGACTGCTCAGCAAGCTCCTGGAATGTGTTAGTAATAAAGTTTTGGTTCAGGCAGCGAAGTGTGCAGTAGTGAAAGACTCTTTTAAAGTTTGATTCTAACCAATGAGTTTGAGGATGCTGAGAGTGCAAAGCAAAGTGTCTCATAGACCATGATGTGACAGCTGAAGATTTTTATAAAGAGATAGAGCAATGCAGTATAAAATCAGCAAATTAGGGAAAAAAAAAAGGAAAAAGCAGAAATCAGGACAAAAATTCAAAGAAGTAGAAGGTGTAGGAGAACTGGCAAAGAAGTGATACTGAGGACACAAATTTAGGAAGGGAACACTTCGCTTAATGATGGGTTTTACTATCACCAGACATAAGCAAAACACAGAGAAGGTGGAAACTAGGTTAGTTATGTGAGCACATATGAAGGTCTGGGGTAGAAAATGAGCGAGATACATGGACAGGAGCAACAACATGTATGCACATCAGCACTATAAGGCTGAGAAGAGAATTGCTGCTCTGTTACAAGACAAAAAGGAGGAAATAGTGATAGGTAATGCACACAAAATTCAAAGGGTTAATATTTTTGGTTTAGTATTCTCTAACAAAGTTAAAGTCAAGCTTGAGGCCAAGACAACGCCTGTGCAGGACAGCATAAGAATACTTCAGTGATCTGGATGCTTTCAAATTGGCAGTGACAAAAGAATTTCACCTTCGGATTCATGCAAATTCAAACTAAGTATTGATGAGATTCTTGCTCAAACAATCATCTGAAGATATCTCAGATACCACAATAGCTATTTTTGAGAAATGGGAGGAAACAATATTTTTTTTCAGACACTAGAACATTAGTGAGGAAACAGGTGAGAATAAACAGGAGTTCACCATGAACACATTAATCTGTTTTACTCCACCACAGTGCCTGTTGGCCATGGGGCAGGGAAGAATAAATAGTTGTTATATATCCTGACTATTGTGAGAGTCTTTTTTCTCACACGACAGATGCGCAGTAGGCCATGGGTGTGTGATCAAGATGAAATTGCTAAGGTGGGGAAGCATGAGAAGTCATCTGAAAATAGTTCATGGTGAATTGCCAAATTTCAACCTAAACAAAAGGTGGAACAAGTGGGATTTTGCAGCAGCCTGCACCTAGTTTCATCTGTTAAATATTTTCACTAAAACTATGAAACTCTAATAATGTGCTTACTGAATTTGCAGATAATCTGGGGCTGAAAGAGACTGCCCTTTAAGTGGAAGACAGGCTCAAGATTCAAAATAGTGTTGGCAAAATTGGATATGCAAGTGAATGGATGATACTCAAGAGTAAACACAAGATACTATATTCAGACGAGAATGTTCAATTGCTCAAGAATGTTCAATTGCTGTGCAGCAACTGGCTCACAACAGGCCTCTGTGACTTGTAATGGATTACCAGTTGATCATGAGTTAACAAGGTCATGATGTTGGGAAAAAAGGATATTGGGACATGCAAAGAGGAGAACAGTTTAAAAGATGTGGATAGAAATGATGCATTATTATGGCTTTGGGTGTTTTCAGTTTTGGACACTGCCCCCTTGAAGAACACAAAAGCGAAATCTACATGAACAGAGAGAACCCAGAACAGGGCCATGAAAAGGACCTACAAGGAAAACCTGGGAAAACTGAGGTTAATTATCCCAAAAAAGAGAAAAGACCAAGGAATAATACAGACAAGATGCTTCACGTAAACAAAAAGTTGCTGCAAAGATTAAGGCAACTGTTGTCTGTTCAAGAGGGTTAAGATGAGAAGTAACAGACTTCAACAAAAGCAACACATGTTAGAACTGCACACTGAGGAAAACTCACACACAGAAAGGCTTGAAAAGCACTGGACCAGATAACTTGTGAAGGCTATGAAGTCTCCGCTGCTGGGCATTTTTAAGATAAGGATCTGTTGGGACGTTAGTTTTTTGAGAAAGGGGACTATCATCAAAGTTCCTTTAGACATACTTTTTTGCAATTCAGTCATCTGTCTTGGCCCTCGTTTCCATCTTAGCAAACCTCCTCTGCCTCAGAAACCATGTGTAAAAATTAATTAGCGTTTGCAAATGTACTTTGGAATAGTGCTGAACAGTCTTGAGCACAATAAAATAATCAATGTTTAGATAATTGTCAAGGACCTCGTGCAGTTGTCTATAGTTATGCAAACCTTGTGCCCCTATTTAGGAAAACACATAGCTGCGTGTGGATTTACCAATGCCAGCAATGCCATAGACTCACAGAATCACTGAATACCTGAAGCTGGAAGTGACACATAAGGATCATTGAGTCCAACTCCCTGCTCCTCGCAGGACTACATAAAACTAAACCATATGACTGAAATATATATAGTAGTGGAGATGCCACAGAAGTCACTGGTGTGTGAAAAAAGGAATCACATTCCCAGTCCTTACTAAAAGGGGGCAAGATGGTTGTATTATTGACTGGCTTTCATTAGAAGATAGTGTTTTACCCATCTCCAGTTTATCAAATTTTTTCTTTGTTGCAACTTACCACTATCACTACAAATAAAAGCTTACAGAGTGAAGTTTAATATAATTGGAGACATTCTTTACTTTTATAGCATGTAAAAATACATACAGACCCATTATGATTTGCTCTGGGTCTGACTTCAGCCACTACTGAAAACTTACTGTTCCCTTATAATACATGAAAATGTCAAATAGTAGTTTAGCTATCTCTGCTCCTGAGTGCTTTTTGAATTAGGGGTTCTATTTCAGAAATATACGTTTACTATAATCACACTTTTGGAAGGGATTATTTAATGTATAAATTATTTTCATTATTTTTTAGGGTTGCTATCACATCGTGATCTGTATCTGTTTTCTACTCAATTAAACACTTTCTCACCTCACTAATTCCTTTTTGAAATGTCAAATCATTGCTACTATTATTTTATTGCGTAGCAATAAGAATGGTACTGGTAAGAAGACCCAATCTGTTGAAAAAGCTTGAGTTCATTGGATGAAAATTTGAATACAGATCTAAGAGGGAATTTTAGTTAAAAAATGCAGACAAACAGGAAAGTGTGATATTTCATATTTATATTGTGAAAAATGTGTACAGTCCAGCAAAGATGACTTTGAAACATTAGCTAGGCTGTTGTAGTAAAAATATATATTAATCACTTTGGAAAATATAATTCTTAAGACAAGGCATTTGTAATTCCTTTGAGTGGACAGTATTTTATTTTTTTTCTGAGCCTTTTCCTTACATTGATTTCAGATGATGACACTAGAGTTGGAAAAATCAAGCTAAGCCACATCTCCCATCAATGCAAAAGGATATATTCTTCACTATTTTTCTAGGCTAACCTAAAAATTGTCAAATTATTGGATCTTTCAGTTCATACTGTAGTAATTCCCTGACATGTTTCCATTGAGTTGGATGAGGTATTTTCCTGATACAATTTAAATACAAGTTTTCTCTTTCTGACTGTGCTATGTACCACCCTAAACACAGATCTGCCTGGATGCAGTATCTTTCCTTGCCAGTTTCATGTCACCCCTTTTCAGTCACCTTACC